ATACACTGTAAAAAATGACCGTGGATTTAACGGTAAAAGACTGTAAAAATGCTACAGTAGAAACCTGTTAAATGGTTAACGGTAAATTCCCCTACTATATACGGTGAAAAACTGTATTGGACATTATATGTATTGGACATTAATTTTACGGTAGTATACCGTTTTTGTAAGTGAAAAAGACTGTATAATTTACAGTGAATAACCGTAAATTGACATTCCCAGAATTCCCTGCGTTACATTTCAAATTTGATGTTTTTTTGTTGAAATAACTATGTTTCTTCTTAGTTTTTTCTTATCAGTTTTGTATATTAGGGTTGTGTGTTACACCTAATGTTGTTAAATGAATGTTTATTGCATTATTTCAGTTTCGTGTGTGTTACCATGATGGTGTTTGGTGTTTGGTGTTTGTGTGAATGACACTGTGCACCTTCTATATACAGTATGTTATTATTTAAAAGCGGTTTGTGATGGGCTTTGGTTCATCATGCGATTTTCTCATCACCACCTGCATTTGGTGGTTACTAGTGTATTAAGGTACAAAACAGATTTCAGTACTTCAATAGGTTGGTATATTAACATTATATCAGTTAATGAAATTACGGTATTTAACTGTAAATTTAAGTTAAAACCGTAAAACCTAAAACGTTGCTACCATATTTTTTACGGTAAAATTCCGGCAACCACAGCTGCCGGTTTTTTACCGTAAATTTTACGGAATTTTTTTTACAGTGCAATTAAGTAAGTATATATACAAATATAAGTGCTGTGCCCGTGTCATTTACTATAACCTAGTTTATTTAGCGTCGAAACTATAATGATATCTGTGTATAACAATGAATTTGTATTTTAAATGGGCATACAACGAATTCACGACAATGTTTTTCATTCAAACTACCCATAACAGTTATAGGGAAAAAGCTCTTAAAATTAATAAAGAAAAGAATGAGACATATTTAACTGTAAAGGGTTCAATTTTATTTGTGTATAGGCTACTCAAAATGTAGAATGCAAACCATGTGGTTTCAGCCCTCTAGGTTTTCCTTAAACTGTGGCGCAGTTACAAAAAATGAAACGAAACGCGTAACTTGTTGCCTAGGGTTTATTTTTTTTGGTAAATGTGTTAATTAAATAAGTGGAACATATTTCGGGTAGGCCTATTTGTCTTATTCCTTTTATAGAAGAAGCGCTGCTGGTGCGTCATGTGACGATGTGTGAATCCCCATGTTCTGTTGTTTGTGCTGCTGTTTGCGCATGCTCTAAACCACTGAAAATAATTATTGGTATTTTTTATGGGTCACATACACATATCCATTCTAATTTATTTTAAATCTAATTTAATTCTAATTTGGACGGTTACGCTCTCTATACAAGTTTGGACCTGTCCCAATATCCACAACAAAGGTCTTCAACACACAGGGCTCATAACATTTCTAAATCCCTGGTAGCCCAAGCACTCTTCAGATTTTTTATTTTTTGGATAGGAGTCAAAACATGAATCAAAAACATTTTCAATATGAACAAATATCAATAAAGGAATTGTATTTTTCTATTTGCAGGATTTTTTTAAATCAAGTTTAAGACTTTTTAAGGCCTGCACAAGTAAATGTAATCCCATAGGAGCAGGGTAGGACAGTGTCTATGGTAACTTATTACACCATAAAATAACATTATTTACAGTTCAGATACAGGGTATCACAAAACAAAAAAGTCTCATAAGATGGTAAACATTTCAGCCTTTAAACCATTTTTAAGAAAAGGAATGAGTCAAATGTATAAATTATTATATTAATTTAAAACATTAAACTAAACTTATAAACTTAATTTAGCCTATATCTTACTGTCTTAGTTGTTTAGAGTTTTGATTAACTTCTAAACTAATTTCTGTTAAACTGTAAACTAAAACTTGCTGAAAGATTCTCTGTATGAATGAAATAAGCATTTGCAAGAGAGGTGACAATAACCATCAAGCATCAAACTTAAAAGTGTAAAAAGCAAAAGCTCTGAGTCTTTCAGCAGCAATAGTATATATTATGGGCATGTTAAATATTACTGTAGTAAAGAAATGCGAAGGAGGGAAGAACCCGAGACTGCCTGTTCTGTTATTGTTGTGTAGATGATGAAAATGTCAAACATTTGTCCATCTGCATTTCTGTAATTAATTGAGCCGACTAATAAAAAATGAATCAAATCACACATAGGAGGCTTATGTTTAACATATGTCAGATGAAAAGTTTACAATTAAAAAAAATATATATATAGTTTATGCTAAAATGTGAGTGTTTAGTTGTGAGATTAATCTTCAGTTAAATAGCTAGTAATTTTAACTGGAAGGCTGTTCATGTGTGGATGGACTTAACAGGGTCACTTTACCCATATCTTGAATGCATTTTAAAAATGTGTCCTGTATTATAGTAAAAAACTATTTTGTATTCTGAACTCTGATAAAGAATCTCTTTAACTGTTCTGCCATTTGTTGAGATACAAAACATTAATGGATCACTTGATTTCATTCACAAAAATAAAGTAACTGTTAATTTGTGTCTGCAGTTGTGTTTGCTGATACAGATGAGCTGAAGTCAGTAAAGGAGGGAGATTCTGTCACTCTACACATTGATGTTAACAAACAACTGAATGATTTGATACTGTGGTTTTTTAACAACACCCGCATAGCTCTGAACAATGGAGAGCGTGATAAGAGTTGTGTGTATGATGGAGCTGATGGGATGTTCAGAGGCAGACTGGAGTTGGACTATGAGACTGGATCTCTGACCATCACAAACATCACAACTGAACACACTGGACGTTATGAAGCAAACATCATCAGAGGCAACAGCACAGGAACCAGCAAACCTCTGAACAGAACACGCAAGTGTGACAGCACAAAAATCAACAGTAAAAGCAGCAACAGTGGCGACACCATAAAAACATTCAATGTGAATGTGAATGGTGAGTCACTCAAAGTTAATTACCCTTCAACACTTTTTTTCTTTGTGAGCTATTTGAACAGTGATGTTCAGACCTGTTTTCTCTCTTTTGTATATTAGTGTATCTACATGATGTGTCGGAGTACATTTACTGCTCAAATTGATTTCTGTCAGTTTTCATCGTTTACACATTAAGCAACAAAATCATCTATAAAATCAAATTCAACTTCGATTGGTATGCTGTTAGTGAATATCAGTGTAACACATCAGTTATGGTCCCACAGCGACTAAACCAAGGGTGTCCAAATCTGTTCCTGGAGGGCCGGATCCCTGCAGAGGTTTGCTCCAACTAGCTCCAAAACACTTGCCTAAAAGTATCTAGTGAGTCTGAAGGCCTTGATTAGCTGGTTCTGATGTTTAATTAGGGTTTGGAGCTAAACTCTGCAGGATATTGTCAAGATTACCAAAACTGCATCTTAACACCAGATGAACATAGGCTGTAGTTATTTGAAGATATCTAGAGGCCTCGATAGTACAGCCTCATAGGTTACAAGACCTTCCATACATGAGTGTGAAGCACAGAGAGTTTATCTAAACGGGAAGGTGAACTCTAATTTATTTAAATGTGGAAATGTGCAGAAAAATGATTTTGTAAAGGAATGTTTGTTTTACATCTTCACTTAGGACCTTTAATGGTGTCAATACATTAGATATATAGGCCAACATTAGAAAATATAATCAATAAACACGGCATAAAACACACAGTCAGATTTACTCACAGTGATGACTGTGTGTCTTCAGCTGTTCCAGGTTCAGGTCTGTCTTCAGCTGCTGTAGCAGGAATTGTTGTTGGTGTTCTTCTGGTGGCTGCTGCTGCTGTTGGTGTGATTTACTATCGCGACAGGAAATCCAGAAATGGCAAGTATTACATACAGATACAATAGTGAGAGTAAAATATTGTCTGTATGGTGCAAAATTAGTTTTAATTGTGTGTGATGGTTTTTAAAAGGAGGCAGGAGGAACAACGAAGAGGTTCTGCAAGAAGTTGAAGAAAGATGTAAGATATTACCTTGCATCAGTAAATGTGCAAATTGCACTTTAGATTATTCCCCAAAATATGTTTTAAAATGTCCGTTTATATATTTAGCTTTAGTATGCTATTAGGATATATATTTCCAAACATTAATTTTGCCATTAATAATCTAATTCATTTATGTATGCACAAATTCTCTAAGGTCCCCTGAGATCTCATCATGATCAAGCCCGTCAGGGATTGCAAGAAGAGAGATGAACGGAATCCAGATTAGTGATGGGAAGTTCGGTTCTTTTCCGCGAACCGGTTCTTTCGGACAGTTCGATTCAATAAACCGGTTGAAAAAACCGGTTCACCGGTTCTTTTACGCTCGACGTAATGACGTCATTGGCGATAGTGATGGGAAGTCCGGTTCTTTTCCGTGAACCGGTTCTTTCGGACAGTTCGTTTCTTTTCGAACCTTCAGTTCAAGGTTCTTTTATGCCCTAACGTAATGACGCCATTTGCGATGATGTAATGATATCAAGTCTATCATCCCTGGCCGGTGTTACGAGATTTTTGGTTTCCGCGATTTTCTGTATCAGTGGGCGGGGCATACATGAATATTCATAAGTTTCCCGTACATGCGCGTGGAACCAGGTGGAACTGAGAATTTCAGTTCACGCTCCTTGTATCTCAGC